TTTTCTTGGCTACCAGAGTGGCCCAGAGCCAAATTGATTAAAAAAAATAAAAATAAATAAAATATTTTTGAATTTTATTTTTTATTTTAAATTTGATGAAAAATTTCGATGTGACCCTGAGGCAAAAGTTGTTCTGTTTATTTTTCTGCATAACATAGTTTTTTTTTCAGAAGTTTTAGATTTTTTTTTTTTTTTTTTTTTTTTTTTTAGGACCTTACCTGATCCCTACACGAGCTGGCCACCCGGGGCCCAGGCGGCCCGGCTGGTACCCTAGAATAAAAATAAATAAAAATAAAAAGAGAATTAAATTTAGTGAGTGCATGAGCATGTTTTGGACACTGCCATCTTTGGCGATTTTTCATTGTTTTTTTTGCATAGCTAAATGTCCTCAAAATTTACAGATGTATACTTCACATAATACAAAACCCACTAAAAACGTTTCAAACAATAATAAAATTGTTTAGACCCCGAACTGAAGTGAAAACAAAAAGTAAAAAGTGAAAAAATATGTGGGCGAGCACGTTTTGACCCGCCATCTTTGACGATTTTTAATTCTTATTTGTATTTACCAAATGACTTGAAAATTTACATGCATGTACCTCACGTCGTAGAGAATTAAAAAAAAAACAAATCAGAAAAAAAAAATTATTTAGGGCCCCGAAATATTTTTTGGCGGGGGCCGAACATCGTCGGGTTCGGACCCCGTACGGGACCCCGAACGCCCGTACGTACGGAGGTTTGACCGGGGACCTCCGTACGTACGGGCTGATGACCATGTTTGTGATAACATTTGAAGTATAATATATTTTTTACAAAGATAATAAGAGGAAAATAAAAAATAACACTACAATAATATATACATGTTGCTAACTCTTTTGGCTTAAAATAATGATACTCCACATACACAAAGTTTTAGGTATTTCAAGTTCACAAAGGTAATAACATTTGAAGTATAAGATGTTTTACTATAAAAAAAACAAAAAAACAGAAATGAATATGACCAAGATGCACTATCTTTTCAATTTTTTTCATACTTTGTTTAATCAAAAGTAACAAAAGTAAATAAAAAAAAATATTTTTAAAAAATATGCGTAAAAATATTAAATAAGTTATTAAAACCGAATAACCGATTAATAATTATTATAAATTTGTATCACCTTTATTGTTTTGTTGTACATCGTTATTAGAAACATATGCCCCATAATACAAGATTTTTACAATGATAGCATTTTCAATGAGGAAATAAAAAAAAAGGAAAGACGACAAAGGAAAATATATATGTTAGCATCACACCTAGCACTATGTATTGAAACGATGAACCATATATTGCATGCATATGATAAATGACATTTTAAATTAGCAACGATGATAACAATTCTTGTCATTTTGACTTTAAAAAAAATGGACACACAACCAGGGTTACCTGACCGAACGTTCGGGGGCCCCCGGGCTGACCCTCGAATGTTCGAGCGTTTGGGGTCCTGTTCGGGGGCCGAAC